GTACTTTGGTCTCTTTGCTGTTAACTTGTTTGCCTCCACCTCTAGATTATGGTTTCTTTTATCAAATACGTGATTAAAGACTAATCAATGCCTATAAGCAACAACAAACTACTCATTGCCTTTGTATTTTGTTGAAAAGAACAGATATCAACACAAATTTCTTCATCATCATCATAAGTCAGTTGCCACCCACAATTAAATGATGATTTATCATAGATAGTAATTAAGACAGAGAGTTAGTATAATGTTGCTAACATTATCATAGATGGTCCATTTTTATTATAACAAGTACTTACAGTGTAACAGCTCTCTGGTTGTTGGTTTAGGCACTTTTGATGCTGGAATATGAAAAGGAAGTAACTATCTTTAGTGTTCTATTCATAATAAAATAAAAAATTAATTCGATTGATTTGTATGTTAATTAATAGGTACTCACAGAAATAATCCATCCAGAAAAGAATGCATACAAAACAGTAATTTAGTAATTTTAATGAATAAATGGTATCAATTATCACAACAGGTTAATAGCGAATTTTTACTATTTTTAATAAATTTTCAAATTGGCAAGAATAATTGTTATGAGTGTGTGATGGCAATGACATCACCTATATGTCTAGATCAAATCAGATGTGACCTAAGTCCAAAACAATGGCACATTCATTGGCATACTACTCACCATACTTCTTCTTGAGCCAGTCATCAGGAACAGGGCAGTAGGTGCCAGTAGGATCGACGTCGCCCAGAGTGGGCACTTTGCTGGGTCGGCCCAGCTTGCTTCTCCATCTTTGACCGGCTAACATGTCTGAAATATCTGTAACTTAGATCATTTATGTTGATATCATTTAATACAATTTAGGTCGCAGTATACCTTCAAATTCCTCTTTGATCTTCTGAGATTTATACTCCTGCAGGGCATCGTATAACGCTTTTCTTTCTTCGTCGTTCAGGCGTAGCACGAGCTCTGTGGCGTGCACCTTTGTCAGAGGCCCCGTGATCTGCGTCGGCTCCTCGAAATCTTTCGATGTTGGTCCTAAACCTAACTGGCGGATCTTCACAACCGCAGGAACAAAACTTTTGTACTTTACACATCCCACTGTTGCGCTGAATCGCACTTGAACTTTCGCAGACTTTTTGTGGCAACATAAATTGAAACTATTTGCTTGCAAACCGCTGGCCTTTCTCAGCGCATGTGCTGCCTTCATTATTCACTAATTTTACGGAATAGTCACACAAAATTCATTAGAATTTATTGTCCTAAAATATCCATTAAAGATTGCACGAACAAGTGTTAGTACGTACGCTCAGATTTACGTTGTCACTTGTCATGTTAAGCTTGCGCTCTAAAACACAGATAAAAAGTATTTATGCGTGTATTGGAACGACAAAGTCACTATTAGCAGATTTTTTGGAACGAAAAACACGCAATTTTAGCAAGGAGCATAATAGCATGCAAGGAGAAGATATTTAATCTCACTAAGCATTGAGATCTAGCAAGTTTAAGATGATAGTACTTTTGTTCAAATTAAATTTTGATCATGAGCTGCTGGTTTCTCGGGATTTCGAAAATATAAAAAAATATTTATCTCCTTTCATCTTTAAAATTATCTATATAACAATTGGAAAACGCGTTATCAGCTGTCATCTGTCAAAAACTGCCCTCGTGCTGTCAGTCAGAGGTTGATGTAAGATTTTTGTTTAGTGCTTATGAAAACAAATTCCTCTAAAATTGAAAGTATTGCGAAACTGTAATAAATTGCGCAATTAATTAAATAATATTGTTAAAATAGAGTTACGGTCATAGCAATTTTGTTTTGTTTGATTAGAGGTGTGAAGTGGCGTGTGCATTGTAGCTGTGTTGTGGTTAGATTTCTCGTGGATGTAGTCCAGGCAGCATTAGCTGGAGCACCGACCATGCACGATGTTGGAGGGATTGGTGGCTTGGGTTTTGAACAACTACCTTGGGAAATATGTGGAAAATCTCAATACAGACCAGCTCAGTGTGGCCCTACTTTCAGGTAAATACATTACATTGTCTACATTTTGCAACGTCTTGTTTACATAGCAATATCAGGCTTAACTAGACCACTAAATGCAATTAGTTTTTATGTAGAGCAGTGATTAATAATAAAATTACTATTAAGCGGGCTTCATATAAATTTGATTAAATGTCTTGTGCGAAAAATCACTTATTTCTTATTAATCCCATATAATTACAGACTGAAGTGTTAATTAATTTTGAAGTGTTAATGCTGGTTATATTGTTGTGTTATAGGCAAGGTGGAACTCGAGAATCTACCATTGAAGAAAGATGCCCTAAGACATTTGGGACTGCCGGTGGAGGTGAAGGCGGGCTTTATTGGCAAAGTGCAGTTACAAGTGCCGGTGCGCCAGATACGCTCTGCTCCATGGCTCATCGCCATCGAAAAACTCTATTTAGTAGCCACACCAGTCAATTTGGATGAGGTAAACAGTAATAATAATAATTACATGTCAGATAACCACACCAAGTACACTGTCTAAATGAGAGAATTCCCCCTACTATGAGTGCCAGAATAACAAAAATTATTCTGGGACTAGTCAAAACACCCACACTAGATACAAATTTTGCGAAATTTGTCTTATTTAGAATGGAATTTAGGAACACCTCATTTTGCGCCCACAATTCCAACTGCTGGGCCCCCAAGGTCTTCAAAACATGGTAGAAAGCAAAGAATAAGTAAAACACATCATACCAGACTGGTCGGGTCAAAATGAAACTGAAATTTCATATGAATTAAAAAAAATGAAAAGGAACTTATCATGCAACAAACTCAATGGCATATTTAGATTTTTGATACATTTTTTACATTTACGTATTAATGATTAAAGTACTGTTTAATTGTGATATATTTGACTGAATGTTTACTCATCAGGAAACATAAACTAGTATAAATAGCTGTTGACTAGCAAGAGCACAAAATTCTTATAACCTGTACTTCTTGAATTATTACATGAATATAGAGGTGATGTAACATTGAATTGGAGCGTATGTTGTACTGATAAGATTAGCCTAATTTTGTCACAATGACCAATGTTGATGTGTATATTTGAATTATAGTGTTTCAATCCATTATATAGTAAAGGTAAACAAACCGGTTTGGTTAAAATTCTAAAGCAATCACTCAATAAATCAAATAAGTAACACTTTCACGTATATGAACAGGTTTGTTTACTTTTTGTACACAATGGATTGGAACAGACTATAAATAAATGGAATAAGTAACACTTTCACATATATTTTGAAGATTTCAACTGGATATCTCATCACTTTCCCCAACAGTATTCATTTAAATACCAACTTTAAATCATATTCGAAATGTGTTAGTCGAAAAGTGAGGTTATTTTTCAAATGTGGAAGTATGGGTTGATTATGGTTGCTTAGTGCTGTATGAAAAAAATAATATGGTTCGCTATGAACCAAATAATTTTTTTGCATAATATTAAAGTTTTATAATCAATTAGTGAATTGAATAGTTGAATCACTATCAAACAAGTGTCCAAGTGTAAGGATTTGAAAAAGGATTTTTTTGTAATTTATTTTTCAAAAAGGATATATACATTTCACAATAGTCTATCTCCCGCTAAACTGGAAACAGTTTGTTGGCGAGCATGCTCTTGCACTATTAATAATACTTAATGATTAAACAAGTACCTGGCAGTGAGAAGGTACTTCTTGTGTAGGTTAAACTTACTTATTTAACAAAATAACAATTACAATAACATATAAGAAATGCAAGTTCTCAAATCAGAATTTCATTCAATAGCGCCTTTTTTATTTTAACTTTTAAAATTTGCTTACTAATTGTAGGAATTTTTCTTAAGAACCCATATCATTATATATACGAGATACTACATATTTATTTAGCCTCCGCCCATAGTAATTGACAGCTTAGGTTGTACGCACTTATTTTCACCCGCCCTTTTGGTCTTATATTTATTGGAAACTGGTATTTTAAATTCATTACTACAATAATTATCGAATGCAATTTGGTATTTCTGATATATGAAAATAATATAATTTATTATAATCACCCTAACAATCGCGTTTTATTTTATTGTTTACTACATATTTAATTAACCTTCTTTGTAGGCTCTTGACTTTGTCCAGGTAAGTATTGAAGGTACGACCACAAACATTTGCACCATAATTTATTAAAGAATCTCCCAATGCATAATACACTATCAGCAATATTCACTTATTCAATACATTCATTACCTGATACAACTTTCCTAAGACGGCCCTAAGATTTTTGCAAAGTTCCTCAACATGCAATTCCCAGTTGAAATTCATATCAACCCATAATCCTGAATACTTATATTGCTTGGCATACTTCAATGGTTCACATGTAAAGTGAAGATTTTGGAAATTTTCAATTTGTAATAATTAGTAATATAAGTCACGGATAGGCGTGTCATTTACCACCAGGCGCATACCTTATTTCGTCCTGTCATCAGTCATCGCTCAGTATAGAATCATATATATTTTTTGTTTAATCAGCAGCATTATTTCAACTGATTCAATTAAACAAAATGACTCATTCAATTAATTGATTGATTTGTAGTTGGCAATACAACTGGCCATCACTAAACTGTCTAAGGTCAGGTCAGTGACCTTTGTTTACTTTTTCAGTATAATTTATTAAAACAAACTAACAATATATGGGGAAATTTTTTTTAATAAAAAATGTTTGCCCATTCTTTTTATTAATTTACAAAGCTGGGTTTTATGTATAACGCTAGGTACAAGATGGATTTGGAATTTTCTTTATAAGGGTTGTAGTTAAAGTAGGTAGATAGTGGGTATAAAAGTATAAGAAGTTTTAAAGGAAAGCATGGTATGTTTGCATAGTGGGATGCCGAGGTGGAGGCTGTTATCGCGCACGAGCGTAAGGTGGCTCTGTTGGACGCCCTGGAGGCGCAATGGCGCGCCGACCACGAGGCCTCCGACGCCGGATACTATGCTACCTCGTACTCTTCCTGGCTCAGCTATGGCACTGGTCTACTGGCCAACATAGTTGAGAACTTACAGGTCTGCTTCTTGTGTTATTATATTATGTAGTTTCAGGAAAAAGAAAGAAATAAATTCAATATAACAACATGAATACGGTACGATGCGGCCGCCAGACAAGTGTTTCTTTTCGTTTTGTCAACCAAAATCAATAAAAGTAGCGAACTTCAGCGGAGGGTGAAAATCCCGAGTATCCGCACTTGCGGCCGCGTGTTACGTTATTCACAAGTTTGTATTTATATTTAAAATAAAACTAAAACACCGCAATATGCCTATGTAGAGCACAACTTTAGTATTTTAAATACTGTATTTTTATACAAAGGAACTAATTGTGTGCCTAGTTGAAGCTGAACGATGTGCACATCCGATTCGAGGACAGCATAACATGTGCGCCGAGCGCGTTCGCGTGCGGGTTGACAGTGGCGTCGTTGGCGGCGGAGTCGTGCGACAGTTCGTGGACGCGGGGCTTCACGCTGCTCAACGATAGCGACCTCTGCTCCTTCAAGCTGCTCGAGCTATATCAGCTCGGCCTGTACTGGGACCCCATGCCCGTGCCGCACGGCATGTTCGCCAACTGCACCATCTCGGAACTCACCGTAAGGCGCCGCTCGAAAGCGTAATTGACGGAACGAAACGACATTCTCACGTTGTGTACGCGTCCGCCCCAGGAGCGCATGTCGCAGACGTGGAAGACGTCGCACCGGTACTTGGTGGAGCCGGCGTCGGCGACGGCGCGAGTGCGTCGCGAGCGCTCCTGCCAGCCGCTGCGCGCGCGCACGCGGCCGCGGCTCACCGCGCTGCTGGCGCTGCCCACCGTCGCGCTCAAGCTCACGTCGGTGAGTCCCGCGGGCGGCGCCGCCTGCGCGCCCGCCGTCGCCAACGCCGCTCCTTTGCAGCGCCAGTACAGCGAGGCCGTGGGCTGCGCGCTGGGGCTGGAGCGGGTGGCCAAGCTGCGCGAGTTCCGCGCGCACCGGCCGGCCGCGCCCGTCAGGGGCCACGCCCGCCTGTGGTGGATCTACGCGCTCAAGTGCCACTCGCCGCACTACCGCTGTGAGTTGCCCGTCCCGAGCCCCGGCGGAACCGCCTCGCGCCGGGCTGACGCCTCCCCGCCGCAGGGACGGAGCCGCGGCCCACGCGGGAGTCGTGCCTGCAGGCGGCGCGGCGCACGCGCGAGTACGTGGACACGTGCCTGTTCGTGCTCGCCAACCCCGCCGCGACGCTGCCGGCGCCCGCCAAGAAGGCCAAGGACGACTTCGAGTGGAGCACCGACCTGCACGTCTTGAAGGCGCTCAGACAGGTCGGACTTCGGGTGTCCGAGTTGCGGATTCGGAGGTCATCCGGACATTTCAAATTTGCATTCACCGTTCCGTTTCGCGTCATCAGGTAGCCATGCGCAAGGTGCCGAAAGCGACGCCCGCGTCCACCCCGGACAAGCCCGCGTCGTCGGGGCGCAGCATGCTGGTGCACTGGTTCCCGCAGTGGTGGGGCTGGTACGGCTCCGCGCCGCCCGACCCCGCGCGGGCCCCGGAGCCCCCCGCGCCCCCCGCACCCGCGTCGCCCGACCTCGAGGAGGAGATACTGGACGTGATCGCGGATTCGCTCGACAATAACACGCTGCTCAAAAGAGACGCCGTGTTCGGGAGGTTCGAGTTCGAGCTCGAGAAGGGGTGCCTCAACTTGTGCATGGACGCGGAGGACGACCCCAAGTGAGCGCTCGCCCCAGTCGGGCCCGGGGCCCGCGGCCGAGGGCGACTCGGACCGAGTCACCGAACGGCCAAATGCGCGCAGGGCGGAGGAGGGCCAAGCGGGCACGGGCGTGGAGCTGCAGTTCAGCCAGGTGTGCGTGCGCGTGGAGACGCGGCCCCGCGCCGCGTCGCACCTGCTGCACGTGTCGCTGGGCTCGGTGTGCCTGCGCGAGCGCATCACGCCGCACACGCTGTTCCCCGTGCTGGTGGCGCCGCAGGGCGTCATCCGCGAGGGGCTCAGCGCCATGAACGCCGCGGCCGGCGCCATGGCCCGCTGCCGCGCGCACGCCGCCGCGCCCGCCGCGCCGCCCGAGCCGCTGTTCCAGCTCACCTACGAGAAGAAGCCCTTCGGCCTCAACTGCGACTACAAGTGGGTGGCCCCGCCCCGCCGCCCCGCCGCCCCGCCGCTCCGGCGCCGGGCGGCCGCGGTACCCCGGCGCCCGCCTGTGCTTGCAGGCTGTGGGCGAAGAGCGCGTCGCTGGAGGTGGTGTACTGCGCGCCGCTGGCCCGCTGGGCGGCGGCCTTCGCGCGCGGCGCCTGGGGGCCGGCGTGGGCGCGGCCGACGCACGCCTACGCGCACGTGCGGGACTCCACGAAGCAGCGGCTCAAGACGCACTTCGAGCACATGATGCACCCGCACCCGGTCAGCGCGCGGCCCGGCGGCGGCGGCGGCCCGGGGGGCGGCGAGGTGACGGCGCCGCGTTTCGTGCAGGGCGAGCGGCGGTCGTGGCAGGTGGAGCTGGACGTGTCGGCGCCGCAGATCCTCTTCGCCGAGGAGCTGTGCGACCGCGACGCGTCGGTGCTGGTGGTGGACTTCGGGCGGCTGCGGCTGACGAACGCGTCGCCGCCGGGCGAGGCCGCCGCTACGCCGCCGGGCGAGGACGAGGAGACGTTCATGACGCCGTGCTCCACGCCGCCGGCCAGCCCGCTGTCGCCGGCCGAGCCGCCCGAGCCTCCGGGGCCCGCGCCGCCCGCCGCGCCCGCGCTGGACGCCGCCGACCTGCACACGCGCCTCTACGACAGGTACCGCCCGCTCGCGACACGAATGGTTCGCGGTGGCAACAAAACTTTTACATAAACTCTCCCTGTCACTTAGTGACATAAACGTAGCGTCCGTGACGTTAGGTCGAATCCCGCAGGACCCAAGGATTCTTTTTTGTGTTCCGTATTTGAACTAGTGGAGTATCACTTAAAAAATAATTGAATGTCATGTCATGGCGGTCAAACGTTCAACATTCAATAAAAGCGCTTAAAAATTATAGCATAAACCTTAGAATAATAACGCATAGAAACCTAGCCCGCACACGCCAAGTGAGGCAAGTTAGAGGCTTCCCAAAGGGCCTACACGAGCGGGCGGGCTGTCAGTGCTCAAGGTCAAATTGCACCGCGAACAGCTCAAAAATTTTTGCTAAAAATGACGAAATGTGCGGTAAATGGATGTAAAAATAGAACAGGCAAACATAAAATAGACACTAACATCACATTTCACAAGGAAGTAACGCGTTTCAACATGTATTTTTATATAAATATTCACTAAAACCGAAAATTAATTTCGTTGCAACAAGACACGAAAATGTTGCAAAGTAACGGATTTCTTTCTCCCAATTTTGCTATTCTGTTTCAAAATATTACGTAATTTTTTGAGAATAGGCAATATCGCGATGACTGCAGAATTTTTTTCTATTCTAATGTAAATGTGCATTTGACTTCCATTTCTGCAAGTTAAGTGCGTACAAATGTTGTTTACAAAGAGCAACCCCTAGAGTTTCTTGCTCATACTTCTCGGGGGAATCTGCCTTACGAATGAGCGGTGGAGTTTAACCAATGTGACGATTTCTAGTGTAATAATGCTTACCTATGAAATAAAGATTATTTTGATTTTGATTCTGGGTATCGTTTACGGGGTATATGGCTCATTACGAATATAATATTATTCTTAAATCCAAGATGGCGGACACAATTTTTTTTTTAAATACAATATGGGTATCCTTTTCGAGGTATTTGGGGATGCTCATTATGAATATGGCACTCATTTCTAAATCCAAGATGGCGGGCGCTATATTTCGAAAAATGGCAAGTTGGGAATCATTTTCGAGATATTTGGGGGTGCTCATTACGAATATAGTACTTATTTGTAAATCCAAGATGGCGGACACGATTTTTCAAAAAATGCTATATGGGTATGCTTTTCGAGATATTTGGGGATGTTCAATACGAATATGGCACTCATTTCTAAATCCAAGATGGCAGACACGACAGTTCAAACAAAAGCAATATTCGTAATGAGCACCTCCAAATACCTCGAAAACGATACCCAACTTAGGAAATGAAACTATTTTTCCGGATTTAAATCCAATACCCAACTTGCCATTATTTGAAAAATCGTGCCCGCCATCTTGGATTTACAAATAGTGCCATATTCACATTGAGCATCCCCAAATACCTCGAAAATGATACCCATATAGCATTTTTTTGAAAAATCGTGCCCGCCATCTTGGATTTAGAAATGAGTGCCATATTTGTAATGAGCACCCCCAAATACCTCGAAAATGATACCCATATTGCATTTATTTGAAAACTCGTGTCCCCCATCTTGGATTTAGAAAGAAATGGCATATTCGTAATGAGCACCTCGAATACCTCGAAAATGATTCCCATATTGCATTTATTTGAAAAGTCGTGTCCGTCATCGTGTATTCAGATATAAATGCCATTTCCATAAGGATTACCAAAAATCAATTTTTGAAAATTCTTGTCACTTGACAATGGGCTGATGGAGGAGCTCGGTAGCACTGGTGTCGGCTGTTCAGTAGATGGTTGTTTTGTTAATAACATAAGTTATGCAGACGATATGGTGCTGTTGAGCCCCTCAATCAGCGCTCTTAAAGTACTTCTCAATGTATGTGAAAGGTATGCCGAGGCCCATGGGCTCAGATACAATGTTAAAAAGAGTGAGCTGTTGGTGTTCAAATCAGGTTCCAAAACCTATTCGACGCCACCAGTCACTCTAAACGGAACTGAACTGGAAAAAATGACCAAGTTCAAGTATCTGGGTCACTGGGTCACGGAAAATTTATCGGATGACGTTGACTTGGAGAGGGAACGCAGGGCACTGGCGGTACGGTGTAACATGCTGGCCCGTAGGTTTGCACGATGCTCTCATGAGGTGAAAATCACCCTCTTTAAAACTTTTTGCCAGACACTATACACGTGCAACCTGTGGAGCGATTACACCAAAAAAGCCTACAGTGCCCTGCAACTCCAATTCAACAATGCCCTAAGGGGACTGATGGGGTTGCCTCGATACTGTAGTGCCTCTGGGATGTTCACGGAGGCTAGAATCGACGGTTTCCAGGCCATCATTCGGAAAAGAGTGGCTTCCCTGCTGGCCAGAGTGAGGGGCAGTACC